GTAGTTATTCGGTTATAAGGCGCACCATTTTTTTCAAGAAATTCCTAATTTCTACTAAAAATTACCGCCAAAGTTTGGGTGTGTCTTATAGGCGAATATTTTCCCGAAACAATTTTTTTTTTACAGTTACTGGTGTGATTTCAAGCAAATAAAAAGACACACACACATTGACTTTTATGAATATGGTGGTTCTGAAAAGACAAGCAAAGTCAAATTTGCATAGATGTGATATGTGCTCGAGAGCACATGCTTAGTAATTTGATACGTCACAAAATGAAACGAAAATAAACAAGCGAAGAGGTAAATACCTTCTTCATCCTTTCAGCCTTTTTAGTGCACTGAGACCTGCATTCTCGGCAGTACATCTTGTTTAATCAAGGCTTTTGTTTGTGTGCGTGGTCGCGTGTGCGACAATTCTGCTTTTGTTGGTTAACGGTAAACTAAAATCAATACACGACTTTTTCGCTTTTTTGTAAGTTAATGAAAGAATTTACAATAAACTTGACCGATCTTTACTCCCCAAACAACGGTGCGCCTTATAACCAAGTATTTTAGCGATTTTCTCAGTTTGAAAACATGCAATAATGAAGTTGCCGAATTGGGGGTGTGTCTTATAGCCGAGTGCGCCTTATAACCGAATAACTACAGTAAGTTGAGTTAAAGTGATTTCTTAGTATTGTAATGCACATCCTGTACTGGGCATAAAAATCATGTAATAACGCAATTAAGTGTTTGCGCATTTCTGAGGACATGGTATTGTTTTTCAATCAATGGACCAGGTAAAGAGGTATGGTGGTCTTAAGCTCTTGAACAAGCACAGTGACCCATACTTTTTATGCATAATTTTTGTGTACAAACTATGTCCTTTGGATTGGAGACAATCCAAAAAAATTTGTCCTAGGGTAAGAAGATATAGCTAAAATTGTGTGCAAAGCCTTATCTTGATGAAAATTATAACCTTGAAAGCAACAACTTAAGGAATGTTTTGAGTTGATATTGTTTGAAATTGGGGGATTTTTCCACAAATAATACATCAAATTGTTCCTTATGCTTGAGACTTTCTGTCTATCAAGTTTTATTCAAGTGTTACTTTAAAAACCCATACTTCCAGTGACCACACAATGTACAGGCATAAATGGGGTAAGATTGGCCAATCAGATCTCTTGATCAAGCAAGGTGATCTATCTTTTTTATTGTATTTTTTGAAACCAACATTGGTAGGACACATTTATAGAAAGTTTTTAAAAAAATGTTTGATAACTTTTTTTTTGAAAAAATCGGTTTAAATGTTTGTTTCTGTTATCAATAGTTATATTTTTTTATTTTTCAGTGAGCCAGTGATCCAGATTGTTCCTTTGTCTCCAGTTTTCATAAATTCTGATTGCATAATCTGTCAGATGGCAAAGGCACCAATGTTTCATCAGTTGACAGTGCTCAGTAAGAGACTTTCTCAGTGGCAGTGATGCTGATGTGATTATGTGGTATTTTGCATAAACAATATGGAGGTGTTTGGTGAGTCTGAACATCAAATTGCTTTTTGCACATAAATTTCTTATGACTTACTTTGATAGGACTTTGCCAAAACCTCTTAGATAGTGTAATAGAAGATTATAGTTGCAAACCGATGCATCATGGAAACATACGCGGACATACATGTAGTATGCATCAGCTTATTTGTCATACGTGTTTCTTACTAATAGTCTATTTTGTATCAGGCTATAGAGTTCTGCAGAGATGAGGAGTAACTAACAAAATTGGTTCAAGAAACTTGCAGCAATGAATTAAATATTTCATTGAGAACTCTGTTGAAACTCTTTATTTACTTGGGAGATGAAATCCATGAAAAGATTATGTTGTCAACCCAACTTCATGATTTGTAGTTTGTGCTGATTGCATTAACTGTCTGCAATTTAAGGCTGTATTTGAAAGTTTCTGCTAGGTTAAAGTGGAGGCAGTGTAAACAATTTTAGTGTAAGAAAAATAATGTATCATGAGTTAAAAATAGCAAAACAGCAGTAAAACCAGTAAAATCAGTAAAAACAAGCTCTAGTACACCCCATGGGCAAATTATAATTTATGCTTTAATTTCGCATAGTGCTATTTCTCTTCAGTTTTCATAATGATGTCTGCTCTGAGTGTTGGAGCCATTAACCATTCATTAATTCAGTTGTGGCTCTGGCAGGTGGAAGGCTGGCAGCTTATTCTTTTGGGTGCTTTGATTGGTTTCCTGAGCTTTTTAATGGGTTTATTGAGAATTAGTGACTTCAAAAAGACTTGTTCTGTCTCTGACAAAACTCTTGCATAGCTATGTCATAAAAGCATTAGAACACATTTTCCAGTGGTTTTTAAGGTGATAAAGCCACTTAGAACTCTTGGATAATGCTTGAAAAAGTCTTAAACCACTTGCCTCTGGCTCAAGACTTAAAAACTTGCTCTTAATTTGACTGGTAAAGGTAAAGAATGCGATCTTACTGATGCATCAACTAAGGTGTAGGCCAATGTGTCAGTCAACAGTCGGTCGACTGTCAAACAGTTTCCACTGCAGTAAAACTGCAATTAAAAATGGCTCCTTTAGGAGCCACCACATATTCAAAATTCAATGATCAATTATGATTTTTTGCTTCCCAATCTTGCAAATTAACAAAAAGTAATCATGTCAGTGAGATCAGTGAGTTGGCTGACAAGCTAATTCACTCCCTTGGTATCTGACCCTTGGAAAAAAAAAAGAAGACCTATAGGTACTATTGTTTTGTTTTCGAAATGGTGGTAGATAATGTCTTGAAATGGTGGCAATTTAGAGTTCCTTTTCTTATTAGGTAGTGTGTTGGCCGATAATAATAATAATAATAATAATAATAATAATAATAATAATAACTTTATTTATATACAGTAGTACTTGTATCCTCTGCTCAAGGCACTTTACAATCATACAAAATCATACATTATTAATAGAAATTTACAAATTTACAACCATATCTTACTATATGATACTTAAACATGGCTGAAATTCATACTGATTAAAAAAGAAAAAGAAAACTAAAGCCAGCCATATCTTATTATATGATACTTAAACATAGCTGAAATTCACAATGATTAAAAAAGAAAATTAAATCTAAAGCAATATAAATAAATCTATAAAAATAATGGTCCGTTATTAATATATTTACTAAACAGGAACATCTTAAGTGCTCCTTTAAAAATTAAGATGGTGTTATACTTTTGAATTTCATAGGGTATAAGTTCCATTCTCTTAGTGCAGGAACAGCGAATGCTCTGTCTCTGAAGGTCTTAGTATAAGATCTAGGTTGCATTCAAAGTTCATTTACTAACTTACCTAGATGATCTAGTAGGAGAACAATAATGTAGTTTCTGAGCTAAATAGCTAGGCGATGCCCCATTCAGTGATTTATACACTAGAAGCAGAATCTTGAAAATGGTACAGTATTGGATCAGTAGCCAGTGGAGCTCCTGCAAAACAGGTGTGATATGCTAAAACTTACTTATTTGACACACAACTATAGCCACCGTGTTTTGTACGTATTGCAATCTTTGTAACTGATACTTAGGCAAGCCATATAAGAATGCATTACCATAGTCTAGTTTCAATGTGACAAATGCGTGAACAGCAACTGCTGCTGATTCTTTAGTGAGATACTTCCTAATTCTAGATTGGTTCCTGAGATGATAAAATGATGATCTACAGGTGCATGAAAATGTGCTCATCAAAGGTGACGCCAAGACTCCTAGCTGGCTGATAAGCAGCCACGCTCTCATCACCAACACAGAACGACTGAAAGGATGGAGAGGGACAATACTTTGAGTGGATGAGCATGACCTCTGTCTTGTCTTGGTTTAGCTTCAATTCATTGAGATCAATCTAACTTAAGTTCCTTGGGCAGCACTCCAGATGATAATGACAAATTAATCACTCTTCTAAATACAGGAACAAGACTTGAGTAGCATTTCTGCATGATGCTTGCTGGAAGTGGATCCAATGTGCATGCCTTAATCCGATGCATAGGTAGTGTTTCATTCTCAAAATGGTGGCGATTTATAGTTCCTTTTCTTATGGGGTAGTGTTGGTAGTGTGTGGGCTGACGCGTTGGCGGATGGGTTGGTCAATCTTACCAATAGCCATGGTTACACACACCTTGGGTTTGGGCCCTACGGAGGGTAAATGGCTTGGGTTTGTTTAAGCTCAGGTTTCATGTTACCCTTGGGGATGCGGTTACACAGTAAAAAAACTCCCCAAGGGTTAAATATAATTAGATATGAGTTCACCGACCCAACAAATTGGCAGGAAAAGTACAGAGCAACATGGATGTTGCAAATCAAGATTTATTAGGCTTAATTGCAGTGATTCTCTTGCTTATTATACAACAGTCCTCCATAAATATAACCGTCCAACAGTTTTTTGCAAGGAGACACTGAAGAAGGCACTTTTTACGAGTTTGTCGCTTGGGTTTTTCCACGACCACAAAATTGGTTTCAGCAACTTCTAAATTGGAATGCACTGGATCACTGGTGGAAAGAAAACTTTAGAGTTTCTCGTTGGACTGGCACTCCAGCGACAAAATACTAGGATGTGAGATGCCATTCCAGTTCAAAAGCGTGTCGGTGTGAGCCTCTGGCAACTAGCTACTGGGGATTGCTGCTGGTTGTGTGGATTGACGGTTGGGTTGGCAAAACCGACTGTCCTAAAGTGTTGCCATGAATTTGTTCAAGAAATCTGCTGACATAAAGATGAATTCATCAAGTTTCCATCAACTGCAGCAGAGATAGCTAAAAAAATTAAAGGCTTCGACAATAAAAGTAAACTGCCTAATGTAGTTGGAACAACAGATGGAAGCCATGTACCTATTAAGGCCCTGAAAATTGACTATGAAGACTACTTTAACCGGAAACATTTCTACAGTTTTTTAGTACAGGGAGTAGTTGATGCTTCTGGCCTCTAATTATCTGTTGCCACTGGTTTTCCTGGAAGTCTACATGATGTTCGGATGCTACGTTTGACTGACGTTTATTGGGCTGCTGAAGATGAGAATATCCTAATGGAACCTGCATTTGACTTAGGCACGGAACTATAGTGTGCCCTCTTATCGTGGGAGACACTGCTTATCCAAACAAAACCTGGCTTATCCGACCATTTAAGGATACTGGTGGGCTTACGCGCGACCAGAGGAAGTTTAACTGAGAGGTATCTAAGGCGAGAATGTATCCGAAAAACACATTTGGTGTGACCAAAGGAAGATGCAGGGTTTTACTTAAGCGCCTAGATGAAGACACTGACAGAATACTCGACACTAGCATTGTGTGCTGCGTGTTACATAACATTTGTGTTTTATGAGGAGATGAACTCGACATAAATGATAGCAATGAAGATGATGATAGTGATGGTGATGATGACGATAGTGGGGCCCCCCCCTCCCAGGCTGCAGCTGCGGTTCTACAAGCCCTTGTTCAATATGTTGCAAATCAATAAGTAGTATCCCTTGATTTTGTCCTCGTTGTGTCCTAAATTATAGGTTATGAAATATTTGTATTTTGATTTGCAATTTATTTAAGCAATTTTATATCTGATCGGATTTATTCAAACCTGAAAGTAACAACAGATTGAATGAAAAATATATATAGAAATATAAAATCAATCGAAATAGTACAGAAATTTACATGGGATAATTACAGGTAATAAGATATTATGTTTGCTAAAAAACTGGAACGTATATTATACCAAAGTAGCAGCATTTGTTACCATTTTACAGCACTCTGTATTTTAGTGTCCAAAATAATATTCAAGATCATTTAAAATGTCTTTTTGCAGCAATCAAGTAAACTCTTCATTTTTTTTTTTTTCTTTGGAATAAAAGCACTGAGTTGAAACCTATTTTTTGGAAGCAAATATGTCTCCGAGTTTTCCTAACACAGACACATCAAATTCTTGGTGTTGTCGTTGAGCTTCTGCCTTAGATTTTAGGAGAGCTTTAAAACTCTCTCGTCATTCTCCTTGGATCTATGTATGGATTCTTGCTGTGACTTCAAGTCAAGGATTGCGAGCTCCATGTCATTGCCGCTGGGCCTTTTCTTCTTCTTTTTGGTCCTTTTTCCTCCTGTTGTCCATTTTTTCCAGTTTTCTCTGCAACCTCACTATTGCCTTCAGCAGTGGTGGCTGGCCGTTTCTCTGGTTCCTTGCCACAATCTTGATTTCCAGTCGACAAAATATTGTCGGTATCATCACAGCTACAATCTTGTTTGTTGGCTTTCGTTTCCTTGACAAATCTAGGATTTACTTTGTCTGATGAAGCCATGAATTCGTCTATGTCTTCATAGTGTTTGAACGTTTTCCATTCCCTTCCCGTGCGATTGTTGTTGTCACATACACTTTTTTATTTATCCACTTCTCCTTTAACTGCACTAGTGATTTTTCAGAATCCACTCCATTGTCAAAGCACATACTTTGAAACAGCTTCAAAGTATCTTCCCATATGCTTTTCCTGCCTTGACTACTTTTTGTGGACTTTAGTCTATCATAGTACTCCTTATAGGCAGCAATTAAGTATTTCTCCTCTGTAAATGACCAGCTACTGCACTTGGTGCGATCTTCACCTCGGTTTGAGGATTCACTTGGACTTGGACTCGCACTGTCACTGTCCCGTTCAAACTGTAGGTGATTGCTAGTTCCTGGGATAGGGTTCTGGTAAATCATGTAGGAATTTAGCATTGCTGGATAATGCAGTGGAGGCTGATTTTGAGCCATGCCAACACCGTACAGGGGATTACCAGTGGTTTTAATTCCCTGCAGCCTTGTTTGGTTTCGTGCAGCAAATAGATACCCGTTGTAGTAAGGGTCTTCGTTTTGACTAGCATTCCTATAAACAAATGAACATGCAGGAAGATTATAAATTAATCAACTTCGTAGCTGACAGTCTGAAAGGCAAATAAAGAAAGAAATACTCACAGAGATGCACAAAACCCTGCCATGTTACCTCATGCTACAAGTTGGTACGAACCAGCCAAGCGCATCAGAGGTCACCTCAAAACACTGCAGGCGATTTCCTGTATTAGCTATATTCTGCTTTATCATTGGCCAAGCCACCTCAGGGAGCAGATAAACCATATTTTTCAGTTCAGGAACTGTCATGGGAAGTTCTTTTGTTCTTTTTGATGTCTACATGGAAATAACCCCGAAAAAAACGTCCTTGCCCGTGGGCAAACGCTATTTACCCATGGGTAAAAGGGCTAATGTAACCACAGCTAATGTGTCAGTAGTGTGTTGGCTGATGCATTGGTAGTGTGTTAGCCAACGTGTTGGTAGTGTGTCAGCAGTGTGTCAGCTGACATGTTGCTGGGATTGGATTCTTTACCTTCACCATTTGATTTGTATCACATTCTAGAACGAAGAAATATGTGCTCTATGGCTTAATCAGGCAACCTATTTAATTGGTTAAAAAACATCAAAAGTAGATCATTTAATTCTTTCTTCATTGAGTTCTATCTTTTGTTCCAATTTTTTGCCCAAATGCTATGCAAGTATTTCCTTTGTCACTTGCTACCACTTTAAGTTTCAGACTTTACATCATACTTTAACTGAACAGATTGGATAACTAGTTTTTTTGCTTCTCTACAAGTTTTTTTGTTGCAATTGAGGTACTACCTACTATCATGGTTCTTTTTTTTTAATCCTCATAATGACAATAATCTACTGGAGTTGATGCTTGAATAGGTTGCTGATGTTTAGTCTGATGATGTGGGTTGAGGTTTTTTATGATGCTTGCACTCCAGGAACTGCAAAAAAATGGGGGTTTCTTACTTTGCTTGGTAGAGTTGCAGTGAAAACTGTCATGTAACCTTGTGGATGCATGACCAGATATAACAACCAAAGTTCTTCTCAGGAACCTTTTTTATTTTGACATTTTTAGGTTTGTTATATTTTTTTCTCCCCTTTTGACACATCATCCAAAGGATGAATGACATGTCCAAGCAGAAATGAAATGACAAATGTAACAGTCTGGCTGCACAATGCCTGGACAAAACACTGATAAACTAACAGGGTGAACAGGCTAGTTTGGTCTTTAAATCTGGATTTTATTGACTGAAAGTTTTATCCCAAGGATATTGTCTAAGGAGATCGTCCAGTGAGATTCCAAGTACCGTGAACTCCCTAAATTTAAATAATCCTCTGAGCACTCGAAGGTGCTGCACACCTATGCAAATTTGTCTTTGACACTTTTAAATCCAAGGTCAGTGAGTTTACATTCTCTTAATAATAACTTCATTTCCACAATGCTTGTATCCTGAGGTCATGGCGCTTTACAATATCACAAGCATGAAATGAGATAAATTAAAACCTGTTCAAAAACCTCTTTTTTCTTTTAAAATTTATACCTAGATTATAATAAGTTATACAAAAGACCAAATATACATTCTATAAGTATCAGTATAAGATATATACAAGTTTTAAAGTTGTTTTGCAAAAACATTGACCTGCTCTCTTAAAATTGCCTTGAAAGATATGTTTTCTGTGCTTTCTTAAAACCAGATGGGGACTTGTGCAAATCTGACGGTGGCAAGTTCCAGTCTAGGTGCAGACAATGGAAAAAGCCTTGTCTTGGCAGGTTTTATTAGGTGATGGAGGTTTATAATAGCAGCTCAGATGCTGACTGTTAGTTCCTGGAATGCATTTGATAACTAAATCTGTCAGCTAAATAGCTGTGTGAAAGGTTGTCAAGTGATTTCACTTATGTCAAGTAGCAGGAGTTCTGTCAATTTTTCTCTACTGAGTCCCCACTACAAAGTGGATGTTTAGTTAAAGTCATTGAAGAAAGAATCAAGTTGAGAACAAGCAACACTTTCCAGTAACTTGCGTGGTACGCTGAACAATGAGATCGGGTGATAGTTGCTGAAGGCTTGTGTATTTCCTTTTTTGTTGATGCAACTAACATGAGTTGTTTTATGTTGGTTTGGAAATTTACAATCTTGAATGCTCCTTTTAGCAATCATGAGGAAGCTATTAATGAGGGCATCTCCTAAAAGTTCAATCTCTTGTTATATTGTCAGGACCAGAAGCTTTTCCCACTTGGATATTGTTAAATAAATAAATAAATAAATAAATGATGAATATCTTTAGCCAGGAGGCCACCTCACCCATTGGTGGTTTTCAGGCTGGTCCTGAGTAGAAATTACAAATCTGTAGTAGTTTAAAATTTGTTAAAAGTTAAAAGAGCATACAATAACAATAAAGTTCTAAGACAGAGTTAATAAAATATTAAAATAAATAAAATAGTTTATATAAGTTTCTTAAATAAATCAAGGCTATTTCAGTTCCTTGTAGATATTGGAAGAGCATTCCAATTGTGTATCGCTTGATAAGTTAGTCTTTGTTGTCCCCACTGGCATTGAGATTTGGGCATTTTAAAATTGTCTTTATGCCTAGTGTTATAAGGATGGGCATCCCTTAAGTGCATTTAGTTAAATTCCCAGTCAATCAGCCCATGCATTCATTTAAATACAAAGGGAGATGGTGTTGTCATCACCTTTCTGATAAAACTAGCCAATCAAGTTTGTTCATTGCCTCTTGTGGAGGAATGTTTAGCTTTATCAAGGATTGATTCAGCAACTTTGTGTAGAGTTTTATTGTTTTTGTCTCCCCGTGCAATATCACCATAATCCAAGAGAGGCAAGATCATTGATTTGATGTAAAGTTCTCTAGTGTGTATTTCACACTGTTTACAGAAGAAAAATAACTTAACATAACATGATTTACTATGATATAGAAAAAATACAAATAGAAATTAACTAGAAGAAAGAATATTTAATCATATACAGTGACCAAAGTAGTCAATGAGCTTCCGAGTTGGTCACTTTCATGTGTAGATATGAGTTGGGGTTGGCCACATGTTAAGTATAATTTAAATTAATAGTTACATTAAAGATGATATTGTCATTGTTGTGGTTCAGATAAGCAACGTAACAGACATTTTATGCGAACTAAACATCCGAAGGACATGCCTCATGCGCATGCGCCAGTACATTTGTGTTGCGTAAGAAACTATGATATCCCCCCTTTTCCAAATGAGGAAGGAGAAGAACAACTATGTAAAACAAAATACGCACAACAGAACTAACGAGATTAAACAAAAATTAAGCAATATTCACGGTTCATGCAAATGTTCATGATCCTAAACTGCAAAAATAACTTGGTAAGAAAGTCAGTTTTGAGTTCAGTTCATAGGTTCAACTTGGCAGGGGGTTTGATCACCCTGGTGGAACGACGCAGTGTAGTCTCTCTGGTCACAGGTCCTGGTGTGGTTGCCGGGCTAGGTGCCAGGGAGGTTGGTGTGGCCTACTCGCTTGTGGGGGTGCTGTCATTAGATAGTGCGCTTGGTGAAGTGGTGCTGGTTCCGGGTTGTGGTGCTAGCGGGGGCTCTGTAGTTTCAACGTGGCTGCCATTCTGCAACATTATGGTCTCCCCTGTAAGGCGGATGTGGCGGCGGTTACGCTGGTGGACACTGCCATTTGCCATGTCGACGAGGTGAGAGCGAGGGGTCTGCATGTTGCATTTGACAACACCTGGTTCCCACTTGTGGCTGTGGGGATTGAAGACACGCACAGGATCTCCAGGGTGTACCGCAGGGAGAGGTTTGGATGTTTTGTCGTATTGCAACTGTTGCTTTTCCAGCCTTGCTTGGAGTTTGGAGTTGGTATCGCCATCTGCTGATAGGGAGAGGCTTGGTTTGGATATTGCTGGAAGGTTGGGTTGATAAACTCTTGAGTTCAAGAGTTCTGCTGGAGACGGAATACTGTGCTCTAGAGGAGTGCTTTGCAGGCATAGCATGGCGAGATGAGGATCTGCACCAGATTCCTTGCACTTTTGTAGAATGTTCTTTACTGTTTGCACAGTTCTCTCGATAAAACCATTGGCCTGTGGAAAGTATGGGCTAGTGGTTGTGTGGACAAATCCATAGCTACTGCTAAACTCCTGGAATATGGCGGAAGTGAACTGAGTATCATTGCCAGTGACGAGTTTGCTTGGAATGCCATGCTCCTCAAATATGGATTTCAGGTGGGCAATTGTTGTATCTGATGGGATGTTGCTCAACTTCCTCACTATAGGGAATTTGCTATAGTAATCAGATACTAGCAAATAGGACAAATTGTTCCAAAAGAACAGGTCAGATCCAAGAGTGTGCCATGGTTTTTGAGGAACATCATGGGGCATGAGGGGCGCCTTCACATTCATGTTTTGGTTGTGTTGGCATGGGGCACAGCCTTTTACCATTTCTTTGATGTCTCGGTTTATGTTGGCCCAGAACACTGATCCCTTGGCACGGAGTTTGCACTTTTCTGCGCCCTGGTGTGCATAGTGCAGCTGCTGCAATACAGCCGATTGTAGGCGTTTAGGAATGAGGATGCCTGTGCCTTTCAAGATGATGCGATAATTCCAATATGCATGTAGGTGGGCTGGGCATTCCGATCTTGTATCAGGCCAACCTTGTGTGATAATTGCACGGAGTGAGAGGAGAACTTCATCTTTAGTTGTTTCCTCTTTAATTTCATTGATCCTTGTTGGGGTGGCATTCAGGTGGAGGTGCAGTTCATGGACTGATACATCAAGACCTTCGATTGTGTCGCCTGGGAGTGGGTTAATTCGAGACAGCGTGTCAGCCAGTGGAACGTTCTTTCCTGGAACATACTTAATTCCACATCATACTTTTGAATCCTAAGCATCATTCTTGTGATGCGTGGCGGAGAGGACGA